TGGATTGGTTGCCCACTCAAGGCCAGGAGGCAGTGGTAATGATTATAAAGATACACACACACACACACACACACACATGAGAGAGAGAGCCTCAAAATACATGAGGCAGAAATGGACAGCAGACAATTGAATAATAAGAACTGGAGATTTCATATCCGTACCAAGAATTGTTAAAACAACTAGACAGACAATCAGCAATGACATAGAAAGCCTGAGCAACATGATCAACAAATCTGATCCAACCGCTATATATAGGACACTCCTTATAACGGGTCCAGAATATACATTATTTTCAAGTACCTATGGAACGTTCTTCAGGATAGGTCATATGCTAGGCCGTAAAACAATAAGCCAACAGGTGAGTGAGGAAACAAAGTGTACATCTATACAACTGAAAAAGGAACAAACCACGGATACACATAAGACCATGAATGAGCCTCCAATACTATGCTAAGTGAAGAAATCCTGATGCAAAAGACTATATAATACATGATTCCATTTCCATAAAACATCTAGAAAAGGCAGATTTATACAGACAAAAGGCAGATCAACGGTTTCCTCGGGCTGGAGTGGGAGTATGGATTAATTGCACATGTGTACCAGGGAACTTTTTTGGGTGAGAGAAATGTCTTAAAATTGGATTAGGGTGATGGTTGTACAATTCTACAGATATACTAAAAATCATGGAATTGTACACTTTGAATGGGTGAATTTCATCATACGTAACCTACATCTCAATAAAGCTGTTAAATACATACACATATGAGGGGCTCGGGGATAGCACAGTCGGTTAAGCATCCATCACTTGGTTTCGGCTCAGGTCGTGATCTCGGGGTTGTGAGAACAAGCCCCAGGTCAGGCTCTCCCCTCAGCACAGAGTCTGCTTAAGTTTCTCTCTCCTTGTCCCTCTGCCCCTCCCCCTGCACTCTCTCTCTCTCTCTCTCTAAAATAAATAAATAAATCTTTAAAAAATAAATAAACTCGTACATACATATATGAGATGATAGTAAATGAAGTAAAGAAAAATAAGGCAGGGAAGAAGGGTAGGAATGTCAGAGTGGGCTGCGAATAGTGCGGTCATTCGTGGTGTTTGCCAAATACTTCCAATCCCCTCTTCTAATCACATGGTAGGATGGCACTTCCTGGACTCCTTAAGGGTAGGTGGACAATGAGTTGGCAATGAATGTGACGTGTGGGACTTCCAGATTGAGGATTTTCTGTTCATCTGAGACCTTTCTGGAGCTCGATCTCTCCTTTGACCCCCTGGCCTGGCTGCCAGCACCACGTGACATGATTATTTCATCAGCCTGGGTATTTAACTCACTATGATGGACAGGTGACTTTGACTCAGTTACTACATGACCTGTGCTACTGAGACACAGACAGGTGCTCAGGGAGAGCCTCAAAAGAAGATGGTAAAAGTCCTGTGGAGGTCAGTTTGTGAGCCGTGCAGATGTCTGGGGGGAAGGGTACTCTGAAGAAAAGGCAGAGCATGTGCAAAGACCCGGCTCATCCGAGGAGGAGCAAGGAAGCCAGTGTTGCCGGCACTTGGCAAGCGGGGAACACAGGAGATGATGTGACAGTGATGGTGAGTCAGCTGGAGGACTGACATGGGAATCTGCGGGGATGGGCTGAGCAAGTGCCACTTCTCATAGGGTTTAGGCTTTAAGAGCCTTGTTCCAGCTGCAATATTGGAAGGAGATGGATAGGCCAGAGGCAAAATCAGGAAGACCAGTAAGAAGGTCTTTGTAAAAAGAATTTAGGTGAGAGCTGACTTCACACCCTGAAGCCACAGCATTCTTCCTATAAACAACTCTTCCCACCCACCCCCCAGCTTTATTAGAATACAGTTCACACCCAGCACTCTATAAGTTGAAGGTATACAGCATATAACTTGAATTACATCTATTGTGAAATGATAACGATAATCAATTTAGTTAATATCTGCCATCTCAAGTAGGTACAAAAAAAGGAGAAAAATAAAAATGCTTTTCTTCCTTGTGATGATAACTCTTAGGATCTCCTCTCAACTTCTAAATATATCATACAGCAGTATAATACACTGTGTCATACACTCCACTCCTCCATGGGACTTGTTTATAACTAGACATTTGTACATTTTGACCACTTTCCTCCAATTCTCCCTCACCCTGCCCCACTTCCAGTAACCACAGATTTGATCTATCTTCTTTTTTTAAAATTGGAAGTGTAGTTGACATATAATATTATAAGTTTCAGGTGTCCTATAAATCTGATCCAATCAGTCCTACATTTACAACTTTCAATAGCTCCCTACTGCCCATGAAAAAGAGTCCAAGTTTCTCAACATGGCATCAACCTACCTCTCCTGTACCACCCACCCCTTCCTTTCCTATGATTTCAGTTCTCCTGTCTCTGAGTCTCCCATTCTCTCCCACTCTCGCCTCCCCACCTGGGTCCATGTGGTTTCCTCACGTCCCTGCATCCACAGCAGGGAGGGAAGAGCTGTTCTGGAGAAAGATCAAGTGAGCAAAGCCAGAGTTGGGAGGGCACTGGGGTGGGCTGTGATGGAGGAGGTTCAGTCCAAGCTGCCCTCTGGCCTTGCTCCTGGAGGTTAGTTTATGGGCCAAGGAGCTGGGATCCTGAATGAATGACTGGACTCAGAGCTGCCTTCTCTTCCTTCTGGACTCTCTGGCCCAGTATGCACAGAGATTACCCTCTTTCTGCCCACCATGATTCAGACCTTCAGCGGCTACTCATGGTGGGAAGGACCCTGGAGGGTCAGCTAACTGGGAGAAGCCTCTAGTCCTTGGCAGAGAACTGCACAGGCCAGGGGGCAGCAGTGTGGGAAGCTGGTGAGCACAGAGGCTGTAGCTGGTCCGAATGGGGAGGACTGTGCCACAGGAAAATCTTACAAGTGGTGGGGCTTATGGCTGGGTGAGAGTTTTAGCCAGGTCTCCCCAAATGAAAGACCAGAGTGCGGGCTGGCCTCCAGCCTCCTGCTATCGGGCAGTTCCTCGACTCGACAAAACTCCAGGCAGAGTGAAGAAATGAGGTACGGCACAACATTTTAACCCCAAAAAATCTCCCGTTTGCCCCAATTCCCTGGAAATACCTGACAAAAGCAAGCACAAGTTCCCAATTGCTCTCCTCCAGAATCTATGGTGCGAGACGGAGAGAAGAGAAAGAGCCAGAGGGAGATAGACAGAGAGACAGAAAGAGAGAAATTGAGTAAGGGAGAGAGACAGAACGGCTGACCCAGAGAGACCGAGGATGAGGTGGAGAAACTGCTTCCCCTGTGTTGGCTGACTTTCCTATTTTCCGAAGCCTTCTGTAGAACAGCATGGCCAGTCCCTCTTTATAAAGCTGCCAAGCTGTTTGTGGTCAGATAATGATTTTTAAAATTAATTAAGTCTAAGGGAATGAAGTGCTGATGCCTGCTACCACGTGATCAATCCCCAACACATCACTACTCCAGAGATGCCAGACATGGAAGGACACCTGCTATGTAGCTACATTTATAGGAAATATCCAGAGTAGGTGAGTCCTAGAGACAGAAAGGCAGATCCGTGGGTGCCAGGGCTGGGGGAGGTGGGGAACCACTGCTCAGTGGTTTTCTTTCAGGGTGGTGAACATGCTTTGGGACTGCAAAGAGGTGGTGGTCACACACCATGGAAGTACAAATCACCGCTCAATTAACGGGTCACTTTAAAACGGTTAATTGGGTTATGTTAATTTCACCGCCCTTGAAAATTTAACTCCACCTTCTTCTTTAAATTCAGGTATCCCGTGCTCTTTCTCATTTGTCTTTCCCTTAAAGAATTAGCATCTGCACTCTGAAGCTGGGGGGGGGGGGGGGGGGAGGTGGGTGGGGTCTGCTCTACTGTGAAAATCTGGAGGCCAGAAGCGTCCACAAAAGAGAGTGACTTTTCCTTTCAAATCAGTTGGTACCATAAACCTAACTGAGGGGAAATAATCTGGAGATTCTACAGACCCCTAAGGCATTAGAAGTGAACAGAATTAAAGGCTAATTTCAGCTGCTCCCCACCCCCACTATAGAAAGGGACACTATGAGTAGTGTCCCGTAGCCTGTCCAGCCCAGCGTCAGACCCAGGCGACTTGGCTGCGTGAACATAGAGCTCGAGGGCTCGTCCCTGCACACACCCACTCAGACCCCAGCAAGGGCTGCTGTGTGCCGTCTGAGGCCTCCCCAGCCTTGGTCCGGGGGTTCCGGTTCCTGGCCACACAGGAGGTTCACCTGAGAACCAAAAAATACGCGGATGTCTGGAACTCACTCCAGACCAATCTCCAAGTATTTAAAAATACCTGGGGATTTTTAAAAGCTCCTTTGTGATTCTAACATGGAGCTAGGTTAAAGACCACTGCCTGCGTTTCCTCCTCTGGTATCTGGGATTTCAATCATCCTCGGAAAGTGTCCAGGTACAAAGAACATGACACACCACGTTGCAACCACCCAGCCGGCATCTGTGTGACCCCCCTCAACGAGCAGCTGCACGACCACCCCCACAGCCCCTGCACGTGACCCAACCCGCGGGGGGCTTCCTCTGTGCCTCAGTTCCCTGCCGGCACTTTACTGGGGGCTACTGAACCAACTGCCTGGCTGGGTCGCTTCCAAGCAGGATGTACTCCCCTCCCCATGCAGGACCTGCCTCTTCCCCCCCCCCCCAGTCTCTGGACAGGGTGATCCTTCCAGATTCTGAATGTCATCAGAGCCCTGAGTCACTGGACTCAAATCCCTCCAACGATCATGGTCATGTTGAAGGCTCTGTGTTTCAGGCAGACACAGAACATCTCCCAAGTTCAAGGGTGAGGGCTGTGGGCACCATCAGCCCATGCCCAGGCCTTGACAACAGATGATGCCCCTTGATGCTTCCAGCCAACAGGACCAAGACAGCTCCTTGAGTGACCCCATCTCCCAGCCTCAAATGACCCCATCTCTCAATCCAGAAGCCAAGAGCAAAGGTAATCATATTCCACATAGAATAAAATAAAATTCTTACCGAAATATCTGGCTGCAAATGTTCTTCTTTTGTTGGAAGCTGTCGGCAGCATAATGAAGCTGGCAGACTATGTGCAAATTTCTTGTGTATCCTTTTTATAAAGAACCAACCACATCCTCAAGCAGACAAGCTAATTCCTGTTTTCCAGTAACAGGAGATCAGCATCTATAGAAAAGAAATATATTTAGAATGCCCTTTATCTGGTGTTTTCTTGGATTTCAAACAAGAAACCTTGCTGTGAGGAATGAGTCCCTTAAATATAAGTGTGCCCAGGGATCTTGGAATGGCTTTGGGCAAGTCATGGGACCGCTGGGTATCAGTTCCTCATCTGTAAAATGGGAACAATAATGACAACTGCCCCTCCCGGTGAGCAGAGGATCAACAAGATGAGGAAAGCAGTGAAACAGCAAAGCCCTTCACACATCAGACACTCTGTTTGATCCTTTCCATCAGCTGACCTGGATTCAGAAGGAGCTGTGTTTCCCACACAGCCTAGAAAGTGGCTACAGACAATGACTGGTAAGCACGCAGAGATTGCCAGGATGCTGTCTGTGACTCCCATCTGGTGTGTGCCACAGTCCTGCCCATGGGGAGACCAAGGACGTGGTCCCCATACCTGCACGGAGAGACGAAGTCCCCACAGCACCAGCGGCAGACCCTCAGCCTTGTACTCCGGCTGCTAATAGTGTGACTTTTTGTTCCATTGCTGGAAAAGTCAGCATCATCCACGCATCATTTCCAGGTGTGGGAAATCAAAAAGAAAATCCCAATTAGGAAACAGCCAAGTGAGTTTCAGGCAGCCATCAATGTCATTGACATCGTGGTCTTGGCAATCTCGAGGAAAGGCAGTTCCCAGGGGGTGGTGCTGTCCATTAAAATACAGATGGAGTTTACAGATGCCAGGAGCAAACTCTGGGACGACAGCCCCCAGAATGTTCTTCCTACTCCCCTTCTCGTCTCCTCTGCTCTCCTGTCTCTGCCGTATTGCTTGGATAGTGTGTTTGTGATCACAGAACCAATCCCCACCACACAGATAAGACAAGCATGGCCAGCACTCAGTGTAGGCAGATCCCTTCCCCCCACAAGCTGTGGGGATGCAGGGACTCAGGCTGTCATAGCCATAGGAAGTGGCAGCGGGGCTGTGGGCTGCTGGGCTGGATAGCACTGTCCTAGGCTGCAGTGGGGCAGTGCCATCGTGCACCAGCCTGGGCCATCTGTGGACAGTTACAGCTGCTGGCATCTCTAAAGGGAGCACGGTACCAGAGCAGAGGAATCGCCACGGTGGTGCCTCTAGGGGGTGACCTGGGACAGCTAACAGAGAAAGAAGCCACAGCAGAGCCCCAGACCAGAGGCTGGCGTGGACCCCAGCCCAGGAGCTGGAGAGCAGAGTGGCAAGCAGAGAACTCTAGAGCTGAGACAGACTCAGAGACCCTTAGGGACCCAGAGTGACATCTCTCTGTATTTTCCAAACACACAGGACTAGGAGAATGGCTGAGGGGAATGAAGAGTGACAGGAAGAAGCCCTTCCTATGACCTAGTGTAATAGGGGCTTTAGAATTAAAAACTCAGGGTCTGTCTCCAGGTTTTTCTTTTTCTAGTGGTGTGAATCTGGACATGCTACTGAACTAGGGCTACCCAATTTAGCAAACAAAACTGCAGAATGCCCAGTTACGTTTTTAGTGTAAGTGTGTTCCAAATATTGCCTGGCACATAGTATCTACTATAAAGGTATTCATTGTTGTCCTGTATTTTATCTGGCAATCTAGTGTTTATACCTTCTGAGTATCCATTTTATCTTTGGTTAAAAGAAGATAATCAGGTAAGAAACTTTCAGTTGCTGGAAACAAAAAAGACAATTAAAATTGGCTTAAAACACAAAGGAGGATTTACTGGCTCCTTTAGTGGGAAAGTACTCATAATATGGACTTCAGGCATGGCTCGATCCAGCAGTTCATAATGTCCACCAAGTCTGGTTCCCTCCCACCCTCAAGTTCCCTTGTTTGCTTCCTGGCTGTCTGTGTCATCCACACCAAGGTTTCTTAATTATTTTAAAAAAGGCTGGATGCCAGCTTCAGGAGCTAATATTTTCTCCTTCATGTCTAATAGGAAGAGAATATATCTTTTGGTGTTTCTCTCACAAGTGCTGGGAAGCTTCCTTTCCCTATCTCCCCAAATATCTCTTGCCTGGTGGCTTTGATTGGACCACCAAATCCAGCCTTGAAGCAGTCCTGATGGTTGGGGAGAGATGTATGTGTTGACTAAACCAACCTGGTATCATCCAAGGAGCTGAGTGGACTGGGCTGGTATAGGAAAGAGATAGATACTGGAATAGGTGCCAGAGCCTTGTGACCAATGTGGGGAGCCAGCTCCAAATACACTGCCCACTGCAGACTGCTGTAAGGATAAGATAGATGAAACTGACCTCAGGAGTGTGTGCGTGTGTGTGTGTGTGTGTGTGTGTAAAATGTTAATTCTTCCCCTTGGACATGATCGCTCTTACTTTTTTTCTCAGCCCCTACCTTTCTCCTGGCCAGATGTATAACCCATCTCAGCTCTGCTAGCACAGAGCCAAGAGGCCTCCCAGGGAACCAGTGTGCTGGGCCTCTGTCCTGGCTGTGCCATGTGCCCTGGGCTGGTCTCTGCCCCTGAAGGGCCCCCATTTACATCATGGGGGGAGAGCATGTGTGTAGGGGTGTCGGGTATGTGACTGTACCAGGAGGGCTCTGGTTAGAAGCGTGACCTCAGCCCTCAGCCTGCGGTGAGAATGACAAGGCTCGGGCACATGGGCTTCTGTTTTGGGGAAAACAGGGGTGGAAGGGCAGACATGGCTGGCCTTGCTTTTCAGCCCCAGGGAGAGGGGAAGCAATCTCAGAGGCAGAGAAGACAGGAGAACTGTTCTCCAAGCATCCAGCCCAGCCATCCCTGTACCCTCACCCATCTTTCTTGGCAGCAGCATTCAAGGATAGGCCACAGCCCAGGTAAGCTCGGCAGAGTTGGGGCACCGCTCCCAGCACCCAGCAGCACCCAGCAGCACCCAGCAAGGCAGTCATGGGGAACCCAGGGATGACTCAGCCATGAGCAGCTCAACTGGTGCGGCCACACAGCCAACGGGCTCCCTGTGGGAGAGAGTGCTGGGAGCCCCAGGCCGTCAGGCACTCAGGCAGTGCGCCCTGCACCGGGCATCATCCCGAGACCCACAGGCGTTATTAATAATGACAAGCAGCACTCAGCAGGCCCAGCAGTGGAGCAGACACAGTCACCTGACAGTATACCGAGGTAATATTACAGTGGACTTGTGGGTCACCCCATCACAGTTTAACAAGGGGGAACATTCAGACCCACAGTGCTTGGGGCTCACGGCCACCCCATCCCTCTAGCATGGCCAAGTGGCCATGTTGTCCTGCACTGGCCCCGGGCATGTGTTCACCCTATGGCCCCTCCTTCATCCCCACGTGGGGGCTGTGCCAATGAGTGCCCACCACCCGGTGGCATCCGCCCAGAGAAGGCGGACATCCAGGCAAGCTGCCTGGGTGCTGCCCGCTGGGGAGTCTAGCTCACCTGGGACCCGGGGAGGACATCGCCGTCTCCGCCGCCCAGAGGCTAGCCTGGGATCCTTCCTCGGACACAGCCTGGAGGGAGCGCTAGGGCTCCCTGCCCCCTCTGCTAACCCTGTGGCGGGGGCCTTGGCCCTGCCCCCGGTTCCCCATGTGACGAGTGGGCAGGGGAGGCGGGCAGGACCAGGAGGAAGCTGCCCCGGCCCAACATCATCAGTCAGATGCAGGCTCCCTGGCTCCTCTGCGCCTCTGGGGACGATGTGCTGATGGCCGTCCTTGGCCTGCTAAGAGCCTGCGGCTGCCCCGCCTGAGGAAGCCTTGCCCTGCCAGGTTAACCTCTGCCAGGAGGGGCTGCGGCAGGCCGGCTGGCGGAAGCCCGCCTGGAGTTCGACTTGGTGCAGAGCGCCCCCTGGCGGGCATCAGCAGGCACGGCCTCGCACGCCTTGGGACCGTGACCTTCCTCCCAGCCTCAGCTCAGCTGCTCCCAGCCGTCCAGTCAAGGCCGCACCTATCTTCCCCACCCTCACCTGTAGCCTCACCTTCCCTGGGGCCACAGGTGGCTGGGAGGGTGTGTAGGATTCCTGAGGATTTCCACCTTAGGCAGAACAGGAGCCCTCAGGTTGGGGGTTGGGGTGGGGATCTGAACCACTTCCCAAAGAACCAGCATCACTTAAATCTCCCCACTTGGGAAACTGAGGTCAGAAAGGTCCGGTGAATTTCCCAAGGGGACAGATTGCAAGTGGTATTGCTGAGACTTGAAACCAAGGCCAGCAGATTAAAAATCCTTTGAAAGCCAATGCCAAGGACAGAGACAGGAAGGTAGCCTTTATTGACCTGGCTTCCCAGTGGCTCTAGTGGGCAGGCCCTTCTCTGAGGGTGCACCGACCTCCCCCTCCCCTGGACTCAGTGTGGCCCTTTGCTCTTGCCTTCCCTGACCAAATCAGGGTGGCTGGCCATGGACTGGAGACCTCAGGAAGGCTGATTTGACATCTGGGCAGAGCTGGGGCTGGGATGGAGTCGTGGTTATTCCAGTCTCAGGGCAGTGATCATGGCAGAGGGAGGCCCGTCATCTACCCTAAGCACTGCTCTTGAAGGCCTCTGGGAGCAGGGTGGGGTGGGCTGTGGTAGAGTAGCTGCTGGCAGAGGCAAGGAGGTACACAGCTTGATGCAAGGCCAGAGCTCAGGGCTTATGAGAGCAAGGTGTAGTGTATTGCTCCTGGACCCTTCCATGCCCACGGCTACCATGGGCATAATTGCAAAGCAGCACGCTAGGCTTCCTCTGGGCATGCACTGTGGAGGGTTACTACCTTGCTCCAGGCTTGCTGGGGGTGGAGTGGGAGCTGTAATGGAGTGGAGCAAGGGTGGTTTTGACTCCTGCCTGGGCCCCTTTTAGCTGGGTCACTGGTAAGTTACGCTGCCTCTCCGAGTCCCGTTGCCCATCACGGCAGTGCGGATTGAGTGAGGTAAGCTGCTCAAAGAACATGGCTGAGTGCTCCGGACCTGTCCTAATGACCATGATGCAGCTGTAGTTAACAGGGACCCGGGAAGTGTTCCCTCCACTGTTAGCCGCAGCATGAGCTAGGGCAGTGCTTGGTTCTCAAACTGGGTCTCCTGGGTCTTGCATTTGAATTTACATTACACATTAAGGAATAAGCCATTTTTATAAGGTGGGATGTCTGCGTTATAATCAAACACTCTTAGGTGATGTCAGGGCCCGAGTTTTTATTTGCACTTAAAATGTGATTGGCAGCAAATGGCAGAGAATGTACCTGTCTTTAATGTTTCTTTCGGCTTTGGTGCCCTGGGTCTCAGGAGCCAGCTGCCTCTTGGGCCTTTTTCTGGGAACTTCCAGGGGACAGAGTGGGAACCCTCAGTTCTAGCCAGAAACCTGTCACCATCAGTGGACTGACTGGCTTCTGTGAAGCTAGGGTGATGGGTAAGGGAAGCCCCCAGAAATCATGATAGTCACAATGATCCTCTGGAAGTTTCTTACCCATCAGCTGCTCAACCCCAGCAGTCACAAATTCAGCCAGAACCACACTGTAGATTATACTGCATTAAGAATTCTTAGGAGACTTTTTGTTTGTTTTTACATAGCTAAGTTTTGTTTTACCTAGTTGTTAGAAGTTATAAACATTGGAAGGATATATATTATTTTATAGATATAAATATTTAATTTGATGCTGGGGTCAGGGGATTGTTTCCCCCTTCTTTTGAAGAGGGCTTTCCGTTACTGAATCCAGCACTGAACTAATTAATATAGGTAGAGCAAGGGGTGCCTGGGTGGTTCAGTCAGTTAAGTATTTGGCTCTTGATTTCGGCTCAGGTCATGATTTTGGGGTCAAGGAATGGAGCCCTGCCTCGGGCTCTGCACTGGTAGTGGAAACTGCTCAAGATTCTTTCTCCCTCTCCCGCTATTCACCCCCTCCCTCCTCCCCCCGCACGTACACACTCTTTCACTCTCAAAAAAAAAAAAAAAAAAAAAAAAAGATAGATAGCAATCTTGACTGTAATTGGCAATTGTGGCCACACGATGGTGCTGTCAGCACACTACTTATGGGTGTTGTGTGTGTGTGTGTGTGTGTGTGTGTGTGTGTGTTCAGCCGCACAGGGTCATTTCTAAGGAAGCCCTTCTGAGGAGAGGCTCTGTAGGCCTGAGGCGGCTCAGAGGAGTGACTTGTGCAGCACCTGTGGGAAACGAATTCTTCTGGGCAGTTCAAGGCTGGGGCAAGGGTGAGTCAAGGGAGGCAAGCCAGGTGCAAATTTGGAGGAGGCAACGTATGCCTCACTTCCTTGCTAGCAGTCCAGGACCTGGTCTACTGGGCTGAGATGAAAGGCACAGGCACTGGGGAACAGCCCCCTAAGTCCTCAGGAGAGGGGAAGATGATTTGACCATGACCCTGGTCACGTAGAGCCCAGAGAGTGTGGACAAGATAATCAGATACACATTCTGGGAGAAGATGGAGAGGACTGGGCAAGGTGCTGCTCATCGGAAGTCCTGCTCTGAGTCAGAGGCGAGTGTGAGCATGGCGGCCAGCCAGAGAGGCCAGCGCGATGTGGAAGCTGAGCAGAGCGTCCCCCTGGAGGCTGCTGGCCCGTCCGCAGCTCAGGCTTGCCCCAGCCTTCGGCGGCTCCTGCCCACAGCAGCTCCCTCTGAGGTAGAAGAAGCCCCAGTGCACGGGCAGTCCTCCAACGGAGTTGTGGAGGTCCTGGCCCCTGTGGCAGGTGGGTCTCTGACCAGCCCCAGGTCCTTGGTGTCATTAGTGACACCGAGAGGGTCAGTGAGGGCTGCAGTGTGGCCTCTGGAAGCCGATGGCAAGAGCTGACCTGCCAAGAAGGCCTGGGGTGCCAGGTGTACAGGTAGACAAAGAAGTCAGCAGACATTGTGTCAATCTAAGCCGTCATTGTCTATAAAAGAAATGAGAGTAATGAATTCAGACAGAGGCGTGAAGAACAAGGTGGAGAGGATATTGCACATGACGATGACTAATACTGAATACAAGAACATGGACGAGAAGAATGGGGGAGAATTAGAACCCCCAGACTGCTGGGTCCTTCCTTGGGGCTTGAACTCCAGAGGAAGGCATCTCATAGAGTTATAATGTGAGCCACACATGCAATTAGTAGTTTTTTGAAAAGATAAGTTAATTAATTAATTAATTTGTCAGGGAGAGAGAGAATGAGAGAGAGAGAGCTTAAGCAGGGGAGTGGCAGGCAGAGGGAGAAGCTGGTTCCCTGCTGAGCAAGGAGCCCCATGCAGGGCTCTATCCCAGGACCCTGGGATCATGACCTGAGCTGAAGACAGATACCTAACCAACTGAGCCACCCAGATGTTCTGCAACTAATATTGTTCTAGTAGTCACATTGAAAAAGGGCAGAGGAAATAGCTTAATAATATATTTTATTTAATACAATATATACAAGATATTACACAGTTGGTCTTTGAACGATGTGGGGGCTCAGGTTGCTGACCCACTCTGCTTTTGACTCCCACAGAACTTAACTACTAACAGCCTATTGTTGATTGAAAGCCTTACTGATAACAGTCGATCAGCACATATTTTGTAGGCTGTATCATGTACCATATTCATATAATAAAGGAAGCTAGAGAAAGGAAAATTTTATTAAGAAAATCTTAAGCAGGGTGCCTGGGTGGCTTAGTGGGTTAAAGCCTCTGCCTTCAGCTCAGATCATGATCCCAGGGTCCTGGGATAAAGCCCCGCATCGGGCTCTCTGCTCAGCAAGGAGCCTGCTTCCTCCTCTCTCTCTGCCTGTCTCTCTGCCTACTTGTGATGTCTGTCAAATAAATAAATAAATAAATCTTTAAAAGAAAAGAAAATCTTAAGCAAGAGAAAATACATTTATAATACTGTACTACTGTATTTATCAAGAAACCCATGTTGTTCAAAGGTCAACCACCATTTCAACATGAAATCAGTATAAGTACGGTCATTGAAAAATTTTATATTGTTCTTTATACTTAGCCTTCCAAATCTGGTGTGTATTTTAACATTTATACCACATCTCATTTGTGTGCTAAATGTCCATTAGAAATATTTCATCTATATTTAGATTTCACAAGATTCAGAGTAAAAAAGACAATTCACCTGCCCAAATGGTTCCCACCATATGTAAAAGATTTCCAGCAACTGGATTGTATATCAATTTTTAAATTAAAATGAAATTAATTAGGATAAAAGATTTAATTGTCCGTTGATCCTATTTCAAATTTTCAATAGCCAGAGGTGACTTGTAGCTCAGCTTTAATGCACAGTTCAGTTCTAGACTTTTAATTTAATTAATTAGTTAATTACATTTAAAGTTTGTTAGTTACATATAGTGCAATATTGGTTTCAGGAATAGAATTTAGAATTCAGTGATTTGTCACTTACATACAACACCCTGTGTTCATCACAAATGCCCGCTTTTAATATCTATCACCCATCCAGCCCATCGCCCAACCCACCTCCCATCCACAATCAACTAGCTCTAGACTTTTGAAGGTCAAGTATCTGTGTTAACATTTAAGAATAACAAGTAAAGGATAGAAATAGAATGTATAACTTCAAAACCAGTAGAGGGAGATAAAGACCAAAAC